TAAATGTATGATAGATTTTGTCTTAATCTGGATTTTGAAAACCCTGATGTCGCATACTCTTAAATCTCTTATGTCCCTTCTTTTGAAACTGGAAGTTTATCGACTATTACCTTGTTTATACCTACGAAAAAACCGCATTAACAAAATACCGGTTTGATTCAACCCATATTTCTTTCAAGCGTTTATACTGGTGTCATTTTAGCGCACTCACTGAAACCGTATTCAAAAGTAAACTAAACTTGTTATTTTTATTCGATATTTCTTTAATAATTAACTTGCGCGGTGGACCGAATTGGAAGCGAACAAGAATTTAAATTTGTTGTAATAATGATTCAAATTTAAAATGGGCTGTATAAAGAAAACCGGCCATTTTTCACTTCGCGTCAAATTAATGATGTGTTTATACCTGTTTTCTAACCGATGTGAGATATAAAAAAGCGATTTGAAAACAAATTCGAGTCAATACACTTTTGAATTTCTGAGCGTGTTGAAAGTTGGTTTATGCCTCCGTTTTGAATCACAGTGAACTGGGTCAAAGCGCTTTATTACCTTGTTTATACCTACGCAGGAACCGCATTAACAAAAAGCTGATTTGACTGAACACATATATCTTTCAAGCATTTATACCTGTGTCGTTAAAGCGCACTCGCAGAAACCGTATTGAAAAGTAAACAAAATTTTGTTATTTTTATTCGATATTCCTTAAATAATTAATTTGCGCGGTGGACGGAAATGGAAGGGAACAACAATTTAATTTTGTTATAATAATAATTCAAATTTAAAACGGGCTGTATAAAGAAAACCAGCCTGTTTTCACTTCGCGTCAAATGAGTGATATGTTTATACCTGTTTTCTAAACGATGTGAGAAATAAAAACGCGATTTGAAAACAAATTCGAGTCAATACACTTTTGAATTTCTGAGCGTATTGAAAGTTGGTTTATGCTTCCGTTTTGAATCACAGCGAACTGGGTCAAAGCGCTTTATGCGTTGGTATAAACAAAGTATATGTATCGGTATAAATAAAGTATATAATACAATGAGGTTGTTCACACTTGCCAGGTTATCAGGTTATCTGGTTAAAAATTATTATTGTGTAGTGTATTTTATTGTTGTAAACTGAATAAAAAATATAACCTCATAACCACATAACTTGATAACCACGAAAGCGTGCACAACCACATTTAGCGATATGGAATTAGCGATAGGGTTGATTAATTTGGGTCAATCAAGCGCCGTGCAATTTTTATTCCATTACAGTTGTGGATGTACGAGAAGTTTCATAAAAGCGGTTAGTATATGCATTAGGGCGGGTTGATTTTTTTTTTTTTAAATTGTATAGCAAAAACGTAAACTACATAAAATTCTAAGAAAATTCTCCGAAGAAAC